ATTTTAGTAATTTTATTTACTTAAGTACGTATCAAACAATGTTGATAAGCATGATAACTATACTATATAGTGCTATATAGTTCAGGGGTGGGCAACTCAAAGTTACTATCGGGCCAATTTTTAGAAAATTAAAATCTAGAGGGACAGAGGGCTATATGACAAAAGCGCCAAAGGTACAAAAATTACCTATCATTTGCGCCAAAATGTGTAGTACATAAGCGCCAATCTAATATTGTATACCTGTTATACCTAACTTCTAATATAAGCGACAAAATTAAGGTTTTATATAAATAGTTATTTAAAAATTGCGATTTTATAAAAAAAAAAATCAATAATAAATTATGATATACATTGTGTATGCAAATAAATATAAATTTAATAAATTAGTTGATTTTTTAATCTCACTATTTTCACATATCTGTACTTTTATACATTTACACTACATTTATTACACACTGTGCATACCTAATCATACCCCCCTGGGGGTACAATATTCCTAGTAAAATCTTACCCCCCTAGGTTATATTTACCGTAGGTATAATTTGCTTGTTTCACCGGTATCGAGTTGATGATATCTGCGAAAAGCCGGCTCGCGGAGATCACTCAGTGGTTTCGCATAAAATGGAACCTTAAATGTAACTTTGAACTTTAATTGTAACCTTAAACGATAGAGATCGCAAATCACGTGTTGCGATCTCACGACGGACACGTATCCGTTGTCGGCGATGGAATCAGAAACACGTATGGTGGAACGGAAAAACCAAATGATTTGTAGAGGACATCCTCGTTTCGGTCGGCTTATCGATAAACGTGCACGGTTTATTCGTAATTAAATTTTATCTTCGGTCGTATATTCGTTCGTAGCCGTGCGCGGAAATGAAATGACGATTTACTGCGCGCAAAGACGTTTATTTTACACAGGTTGAAAAAAAAAAGAAAAAAAAAAGCGGTTCATTTACGTATCGGACCAACGCAGGCGATTTATTAGTCCCTTATCGACCGTGCGCGACATCGTTTGTCGATTATGAACACATCCGTTATTCGTTGGCCCGACGAATATTGCACGCGGTCCGTCACCGTGTACCTCGTACGCGGTCGTCGCGTGGTATATGTGTATTCGCGCGCGCATTCTCGACCGGACTCTGCGGCTGGCGACCTGATTTATCGGTCGGGTAATCTGAGGCCAACGAGTTTCGGTACACATGTACGCAGCTGTACAATATTATATAATGCATATTTTTCCGTTCTTTATGGCACCAACGACGCGTGGTTTCTTCTTCCTCCGGACCGAATAACGACAACGACAAAATATTATGCCCTCACTCTGTCTCACTCTCGCTGTCTCTCCATCTCAAACGCATACGTACCTACATCGTGTGCACTGCGTGTGTCGCCCAAGCTATCCGATATTCGTGCCAATAACACCCGTATCACCCGGTAGATAGATCCCTCGGCCGCCGTATATTACCTACTATTGTGCACGTCGTCTGCCGCAGGTAAAACGGGGCGAAGGCGGTTGAGTTCCAGTGTGGTCCGATCGTTTAAATCACCGCGTGTCGCCGTCGCCGCGTGCATATATTATTATTATTATTATTATTATAATTATATCGTCGTTTATTGTTTCTCGAGAAACAAAATAACGTCTCGTAACCCTGTAATGCGCGTTATCTGTATTGGACGTGACATTGACACATTGGGTCTGCGTATTTCGATTCATCTTCGTTTCGTACACTATGACTATATAATATCATAATGTAATGTACAGTTTACGCGTCGTAGATTTCTAGGATCGTGCACGGCTATGTCATTATACGAGTAGTCGTAGAAATATGTAAACACAAAACTATAGTCTTGCAATGAACAAGTTTAACATCTCACATGTGTTATTTTCAGCGTCCTTGGTAATAAGAGAAAGAGAAAAATGAAAAATTAATAACAATATTTTATGGTTTGCGTGATTAGCATATAAGCAATTTTGATATAGGTATGAGATTTACATTAGTCCTATCGTACATGATATAATGATGCGCAGCTGTAAAACTCAATTCCGCATTTCATTTAATACAGTATTAATTTTATTCAGTTAGAAATTTTCTAGATTTGTATTTTATACCAATACACAATAGAACGTTCGGTTACTTTCTCCGGTTTTGGTGTTAAATACATCTGCGTGGATAATTATACTATTTTCATTTCATACTATAATGAGCACACGTTTAATACGTATCTTATTTCCAAGGAAATTATATGAAGCAGTGAAAATATATTCGATGCGAGTAATTATTATAATTGACATAAACCAGTACACGGCTGGTTAATAAGGTATTAAAATGTTCACATGCTTAGGATTACTGATTATTAGTTAATAATTTCGTGTCGGTCTGTGCCTATGATTATGAGCTATTATAACGATTAATTTTTTATATGATCTTAAATATGTTAATTTATTTATATTATAATACACCATTGTTAGATTTTTTTTATACCATAGACGCTAGAACGGACACGTATAATGTACGAATAATGAATTGTCACTTTTGATTTCCAATCTACTACGGTTAATAACGTCAATCATTATAGGTATTATGTGTACTTTATGCGCGACAAAATCATAAAGTTTATTATAATGCAATCAAAATGGCAAACTTAAGAATTACTTCATTCGTATACTAGATGATGCTTTTCAAACTCCAATGATATTATACATTAAGTCGTTTAAATTGACAGTCAAAAACTAAATTGAAATATAACTCGTAACTTTCAAAACAATAATTATCGTGTAGTTATCAATGCAACGAATAATAATAATAATAATAATAATATGAACTGTTATTACGTATATAGTATTGTGACCCGATATACGTACCGTGCCACCAAACTCAACTCCCTCGAACGAAACTTTGTCAACCTAATATAGAGGAACTTAACCTAATTTCCTAAACATATATTTAACTGTCACCCCCCGCCTGACGCAACGAGGACGTTTCGGGCGAGTATATAATATACATTCATAAACTCTCGCGAAAGATCTGAATAATAATAATAATAACAACAACAACAATCGACTGTGAAGGATGAAAGGAAATTATTTACTCTTTCCAGTTTCCGACTAATCTTACCGGCTAAGCTAACAATCTTCTAAGACACGTAAACATCGAGAAATCAAATCGGCCGGAAATACTATTTTGAACGTTTTGTTGAAATTGTTTCTTGAAATCTTATTGCAACAATAACCATCGCCCTTCTCCCACGTCAACAACGATTCGTAATGGAATTTTGTGTTGCCAATTTCGCGTTGCGACCCGTCCGGCGTTCCAGATATTCGAAACGTAAACGATTTCTGATCGCACTCAAAAACCCGATATACGATAGCGTGACGCCGAACTGCAGTTTAATCATAAATCGTGTCCACGCGGCATTATGTATTGCACTGTACAATATCATTTCTTTTGTAAACACTTATTTCGTACGTTAAAATAAATCAAATTACAATCATATTCATCGATATTCATCATATCCTACACAAGAAGGTTGAGAAAGCAATATTTTTTCGGTTGTCCAATAGTTTTTCAAAGAGAAAGGAATTTTTTTTTAAAAAAATATATAATAATTTCGAAGCATTTTCGGTAACTTCGGCGTTAATCGTATTTATATTTCCTTTGAAAAATCAAAAAATAAATGTTTTCCCCGTGTGTTCTGCTATTTATCGATTAAGTCGATCGCAGAACAAAATATTATCCATGATATCCATTTTCCAAGAATCACGAAGAATACCATATTGCACCACTTCTTATATCAGCATATTTATTTAATTTTTTTTTTTTTTTTGAGATATCCAAATAAACATATTGCATTATATCCAACTAATCGAAAACCATGTATATATTATGTAAATATGTCAACGTTCATTTATATTTCGGCTACGTGACACAGAAAAGTTCAGAAACGTTCGCCCGAACCGAAAATCGAAAATTAAATTGATCTCGGTCGACTCGACGATCTGCATGGCATAAACGAATCGATCCTCACCCATTCCGGGCGAGTGGGCAGAAACTTATCGAAACTTAATCATCATATTCGTCAACTGGCATTTTACAGTCCGCTACATCGATGATTTTGATGCCGTCCAAGAACAACTGTCCTTTCACTATGTTTCATGTAGTCGAATATTTGTGTCGAAACGCATTCCAATTTGTTATTATTGACTTCCCCCTCCCCCCTCCGTACGTTCACTCGTACCGTACGTAATACGAAATGTTGGATCACGTTAACGACTGCGGGTTACCGTCGACTTGAGGGACACAAGTAGTGTTGCAGGGGTACAATGTCGCTGTCGCGGTGTTCAACAATACCAATCGGCTGTGCAACTGTCGTGCCGTGAAATCGATATAAGTTTCCCGACGTCGTCCACGTGTATTACACATCGGAACAACACGAGCGGACGACTCTGACGTAAACGGAGGACGGTTATTTTTTTTTTCTCTTCGCTGGCCGGCGCATACCTTCGGAGAGTTTTGATTAATCGATCCGACGTTCGTCTGCGACCCGTTCGAAGTCGTACGACCATATACATTATTGACGTTTACACGCGTATCACAGTGCGCGCAACCGATCGAAATAAAACACGGATATTACATCTTGTACGCCGCCATAACGAATCCGTATAGTGTTTCTTGTGATTTCCGACCGCCCGCAAACGGTATCGCTATCGGGAGACACACCGATATTGGATTTACTGCGTTTTTTTCATAAAAAACAAACCGTTTAACATAATTTTCATCACGCGGTTGGGATACTTCAACGGACCCGTTCGCCTTCGTATCGCGTATAACGTTACAACATTTAATCGAAACACAATTCATCCGATACAGTATTAAGTACGCGGGCACGCGTTGTTCCGTATGCTTTTGTAGCGCGTAATTTATTTACGTACAATACACACGGTTGGAATTAATTACTTCGAAAAATTTATCACGTTTTCAAATCGTCTAAATACTTACACGTTGGCTGAGTTTCCCGGAAGTCAAAGATTTATGTTTTATAATTATATACGTTCGCTTTAAATGCGAAATTACAGTGCATAGGATTCAGCAAGATAGGCGTGCACTCTGAAAATAAAGAAGACAGAATTATAATTGATTGCATTACCTTAGTAAGTTTTATGAATTTTCGAGCTAGAAAATGATACAACATTTCTTGGTGGTATTCGATATTTTTTTACAAAAGATAGAACATCTTTTCGGGAATTTTGCATCGGGTTTTCAATGTTAGATTTTTAGAATTAAAATTATTTTATAAAAAATACTTAAGAAAACGTGCAAAGTCGGAATACTTTAAAAATCTTTAGACAACTTTCGGTGAACGTTTTATATTGCTACGATCAATACTTTTCTAGTTTACGACTAAAAAAAAAAAAATTTAATTTTCTCGTAAAGTGGTATTTTGAAACTTGTTACCATTTTTTTTCGTAAGTTTTAGTAAGTTTATCTCGACTGTCTGAAAAAATAATGGGTAAATATGAAAAATGACTTACCAAATCACAACATTTTTTAATGGAAAAAATTGAGTTTTTTTTTAAAAATATTAATATGAGTACATGGAATTGTGAAAAATGAAAATACTTATCATAAACAAAATGTGTGTGTGAAAAAATAAACCAGTCGAGAATTTCAAACATACCGGTTGTTTGAAAAAAACTTGATATGTGATGACATGTAGAAATATTGAATGGCCCGCGGGGTTCGAATCGAATGACCTTCTGTTCTGCAGTGTAGACGTACGAAAAACAACGGAACCGTCAGCGACCTGACGATGTAGATTATCTCAGTACCGCAGCATGTTAACCAATGCTTAGGATAACGCGCATATCATTATCATGAAATAACACGGTATTGTGTTCCAAAGGGACTTTCGATGACATTTGTTCAGGAGTTTGTTTTACTATAAATAGTAATGTATCTTTCGCGCTGAATACTAATAGTGTAATCTACGCGTTGAAAACACCGAAGACGCGATTCGCGTATAAATCGTTCGCAGTGTGTGTTATTGTACAATATAAGTCGCACAAGGTTGATTAAGGGTTCGATTTCCCCCTGGAATTTCGATAAAAATTACAATCGTATTTGTACACCCACATTTCACGATTAGTGGGAGTATGTAAAAGATGTTCGATTGGTATACGTAGCTATGTAAAATTTTCCGTCGCAACCTATTTGTTCGCCATTTGTTGCGGTAGCAGTGCCATTACCAATTGAAAACCATAAATAAAATCCTCCCCGAAATGTTTTCGTGTACGCGCGTACCGAAGTCAAATCACGTGTATTATGTGACTTATTATGTCTTATACCTTCGAGTGTCACGGTGAAGACACGTGGGCGGAAGACAGGTCGTGATCGGTTAGAAATCCGATTTCCGCTTTCGACCGTCCCCGTTTGAGAGTCGTAGCCGATTAGACGTGACGAACGCAGACGGGAGGTACGACGCGCCAAACTGCGTACACTTCACGAAGGAGTGCACACAGTTAATGTTACGTAGTATTTATACACATATATGTATGCATAATTTATTATCATAACATATATATACATATTTAGTGTTTTGTTTTTTCTGAGACGAAAATTAGCTTAAAACGTGTGCATACAACATTCGAGGGGGAAGAATGCTCCCGCCACGAAAGCCTACCGATATTTAAAACCGTTCGTATTTATATATCCGTGCGCGCGGAGCATATACACTCGTACACGAAATTATAATATAAAAGTGATATTTATCGTTCGCACATGTCGCCGACCGATTTTTATTGCTACCTGCTGCAAACAGATCCATTAGCGGTAAACGACGTGCGCGCGCGCGAGTGTGCTTTCCCATCGTACACACTATTTTTAAGAGGAGACCGGCGAGGACGCGTTTACGACCCGAGTTGTGTAATTATTAAAATAAGCGCCTAAATATTATATATATATACGTGACGACAGGATCTCGGGAAGACTGGAAAGATCGAATAAACTCGGTGGCGTTATGCACCGAGGAATGATAATAATTATACACACCATACGTGTACGGAACGGAAGCGTCGATCGTAAAACTCGTGGTGCTCGTCCGATCGGTCGTACGCGACGACGTGCACACGTTTTCGACAGCGGGGGTGGGAGGGTATGAGTAATCATTTTAAAACGAAAACATAAACTTAGGGCGAAGTCGCACAGGTCAATAACAGTTTTGTTAATAGTCTTGTCATAGGTTTGTAAACATACATCCATTAAATATTATCCATTACGGCATTTTCCATTGGTAATTTTAGTTTTTGAAAGCGACCACGACATCAAGTCCGTAGGTACGCGTTTAAAAGTTTACCGCGTACCGGACGACATCGGTATACGCGAGACAAAGAAGACCCGATCCGACGGTATTTTACATCATATCGACAAACAAAAGGCAACGAAAGCGAAAAACGAAAATCATTTTTCCTCAACGAAAATACCTTTCGAGCTCCCGAAGTTTCGAATTATTGTGTTTTTTAATCCAACACGTTTACAATGAACAGTGCATTTCGACTTTCAAGTCGCATCGTGAATTTTATTTTGTATTACTGCAATAGTTAAAAATTTAGATTACTAATAATAGCACTTTATGAATATTTTCCGGTGAAAAGTTTTTATCTTATAAAATCGATTTCACGATTAAGTTTTTAACAAAATTAGATTTTTTTTTTTCATGTATTTATTTTTACCATAGTTTTTAGCGCATTACTTTTAGTTCTTACCATTCAATTTACAGGAATTGTTACATGAATGATTTTTAGTATTTTAACTAATTGTTTGGATTACTTATATTCGTGTAATTTAATACAAACGATAATATTTAAGTAAACGAGTGCTTTGTAAATTCTAATATTAGTTTACTATTTATCTGATTCTTAAACTGCTGACACGTTTCATTTTTTTAAATCGTACAAATCACGTTTAACCTTATTAAAGTTTTACGTTGTGTAATGTCGTTTGGAATTAAATATTAATAAATGTAACATAAAATGTTTATAATTTTTTAATTTTTTTATACTTATCAAATAATGTTGTATAACCTGTTGTGGTATTCCACGACTTATTATTATTATCGTTTGAAACACCATAATAATAATAATTATAATATCATATTATTTAAAATATTATTGTTTTTAAATTAATTCATTTTCGTTTAAATGGACGTTATCATAAACACGTAAAAAATTGACAGTACCAAGTTCGTACACATCAACTACAAAGAAATAATTTCAATGAAAAATTTAACTTGTGCGCTTAAAACATTTTACACGTACTTTAAGCCCAGGTACGGACAATATAATATATGTATAATGATTGTTTGTCATTCAAACGTTAAATTTATTACAACTATTTATCTCGATGGCTATCGTTTATTGATAATAATTTAGATGATTTCGTTTATACTAGTGAAATAATATTATATTTTATGAACGGATTATTTACGCAGCAAAAGCAATATATTAATACAGATTTTATTACACTCGAGTGTTTAACGTCCATACGTATGATACGCTTCCGTCTGACACAGTATACCTATAAAATATCTGTAAATATTGTTTACACTATATTTTTTTTTCTTCTATAATTCTATACTTTTTTTTATTATCCGGTTATTTTTTTTTTTACTTTTTTACTTTAACCCACATTAATTTCTCAAAATCTCTTAAGATATTATAATATATGGTACACGATAAATTATATAACAAGAATTATCGCTCGAGTATAATATTGCAAATTAATACACGCAGACGTTTAGCCTTTTATCCAAATTAATCGCTTACGACCTATAGACATACATTCTCTCTCTCTTTCCCTCTTTCTCTCACTCACACGCACGCACAAGCATGCGCACGTAGACGCATATTTGTATATAATGACCGTGCAGAGTATAAACACATGTTGTTTTAACCGATTCCGTTACGTATATAAGTGATTTAAACAGTAGTCCTATGGGAGTTAACAGAAGACCCGGGAGTCGATAATTTGTTATAGAATATATTAAAGGCATCTGCAGTTGTAGCTGAAAGTGATTTTCAATGTTCGTTATTGAACACAAGCCGTCTCTGCAAGTGTTGAAAACATATGGTTCGACGTGCACACTTGTCGTGTTTTATGTCCGTAGTCCACAGTTGTATCACGTCGTATCAACGAGTAATGATGAAACTGAGGGCTCTACGCTTTATTATCCGTATCGATGAAATCTCTCGTTATAATCTCCGTCCGAAACGTGCGTTTATTATGTATTTACTATGAAAAGTTTTCGTGTGCAGTTGAATCACGAGTGCGATATTGAAATAATTACGAGTTTTGCATAAAAGTTGTAAAGTTAATTTGCGATGGAATACACAAAAGTTTACGTACAGCTACGTAAAAATTGATATAATAATACTTGTACAATATACGTATATAAGATTCGCATTGGAGGATAATTTGTTTTTGACAGTTTCTCCTCGAACTTTCCGCAAACAGTATAATAATCTTACCGGCGGAGGGGGGGGGGAAGTGTATTAAAAGTTGTACGATTTACTTTGCAGCAGATAGTAATAATAATGCACGTGTGCAATGATCGAAAATTACACGATCCACGGAAACGCTGTTTAAATAGAAAACATTTACCGTACGGAATCGAACGGTACCTACATTTAATCATTGATAACAGCTGAAGTATCGCGAGTACACCAATAACGTGTTGTCGTGGTACACAAATAATTATCGTTCCGTATCAGCGAACGGTAGAACTACAGCGTTACGATATTCTCCGGGCGTAAGATAAACGACGATAGTACACGTCGTAACGCGCAGGCATGTGACGTGCGCTTAGGTTTCTTTCTTTCCGTCCGTCTATTCATCGAACTCGTTATACGTGGCTGCAGTGGCGGCCATCAAGGCACCGTCGTACAATAATACGTATAACATTCACAACACGGTCGCCCTCGTCTGTTTGAATGAATATTTTACCAGCTCTTCGTTGTCGCACGATAATAAATACGTACACATAGAAATTATAACATATAGGTACCCGCCGATTCGAAACACTATACGGTCCATACGTGTGCTTATAATAATTC